TATGGGAGGAGCAAACTTGAGGTGCAYCCATTGTGATCATTACACCATAGACATCCATGAGTGCGTGGTGGCGGCGCTACCAAAGGCAGTGAGAGAGCAAGAGGTGGTGGTGGGAACGCTTCTGGCTAGGAGGCTACCTGTCTCTTATACACATCTAGATGTGTATAAGAGACAGCTACAGAGGAGTATGGGAGGAGCAAACTTGAGGTGCATCCATTGCGATCATTACACCATAGCCATCCAGGGTACCTCAGGCTCTTTGTGGTTTATGCATAGCAAGGTTAAAGGGGTATTACGTCTGGTGCTGCGAGGGAAGGGGGTTCGTATGAAGTAGGGTGGTTATATATAATGTCTCCTTTGGGTGGCTTTTATCGTTTTTTTCGTGCCTGGTTGCCCTTTCATGATATTTGTCTTTTTGAGGTTCATGGTGCTCTAGTTGATTACTCTACAGTTTCTGTGTTGGCCTGGTTGACACCCAGGGAGCTACTACCATCTTCACCCGAATAGAACGCCCGGTCATTACAGCTGTATTTGGTGCAAGTTTCAGTCCCGATGCGGCGAAAATCACCGGACGTTCTATTCGGGTGAAGACGGTAGCAGCGGCACTGCCAAAAAGCAGTGAGAGTGCAAGAGGTGGCAGTGGGAACGCTTCTGGCTAGGTGGTAACAGTGGAGTACGGGAGGAGCAAACCTGAGGTGTACCCATTGAGACCGTTACACCCCCCACAGAGATCCCACGGTGCACGGTGGGAAACCCGTCATGGCATCTCAGGCTCTTCGGGATTCGTGCACAGTTTGGTCAACGGGGTGATATGAACAGTTTTGTGGGGTTAGTGCATTGGTATGTCTCTGTTTGTAAAAGTGTTTTGGACTGCTTGCTTTCCTGAGGACCTTGGGTATGATGAGTCAGAATGATAAACTTCAGAGAACAACTTTTCATGAAAGGGACGCTGGACCCGGTTTCCAGCCAAGCCGAGCTGGTAATGGCCCCAGTACTACTACGGGTAGAATTGTGACCCGGTTTCCAGCCAAGCCGAGCTGGTAATGGCCCCAGTACTACTACGGGTAGAATTGTGAGGTCCCCGGCCTCATGTCCTTTCATTACATAATAAAAGCTACAGTCCATTGAAAAAAATAATAATAATAAATTAAGACGCATGCAATTAAAACTATTAAAGCAATTTGTCAAGATAGAGCTCTTCCTAACCAGATACGTTATGAATATAGTATATAGTATATACTCTCAAACCCCAAAAAGCAAAAAAAAAAAAAAAAAAAGCTCTCAAATTAGACAAATTGCAAAGGAATAGTTCCCAGACAAGAGTGAGGGCATACTCACACTAGGACTTTTTCCCACTTCTATGTGGATGCAATTGGAGTCGGGTGTGTCCAGCAGGGGCTGGAAAAGAGGTAATGTACATCAAGAAAAGTCCTAATGTGCGCATGCCCTGCGGAATTGATGTATTTTAACGCATGCAATTAAAATTATTAAAGCAATTTGTAAAGATAGAGCTCTTCCTAACCAGATACGTTATGAATATAAATATAGTATATACCTAGGCTGGGCCGCCGCCCGGCCAGGCGTGCCCAGCCGGTTGGGCCGGGGGGGTCCGCCCGGCGAAACTGGATGAAGTTGGGAGGGCGCAGGTGGGCGATCGGGATGGTGAGCGCGTGTGGAGAGCGGGGGGGAAAGAGGCGGGGAGCAAGGAGCACAAGGGGCGTGACGGGGGCACGTGGGGGGGACCAGCGATTGGGCGCCGTCCTGACGATTGGGGAGGGAGGGGAATGGGGCTCGAAACAGGTGCGAAGAAGAAGAAGAAGCGAAGAAGAAGAAGAAGAAGAAGAAGAAGAAGAAGAAGAAGAAGAAGAAGAAGCAACGACGACGACGACGACGACGACGACGAAGAAGAAGAAGAAGAAGAAGAAGAAGAAGAAGAAGAAGAAGAA